CACACCCGAAAAAGTCGAAACCTCGATTCCATAATTCGAAGTTGAGCTCAATATCAACGCGATTCAGTCGAGAAGCTAGAATGAGCAACAGTACATTGAGCACGAAATCATCATACAAATCGAAAGAAACACGGATGCATTCTCCTTCACTTGTAAAAGATTTATTTAGCCAACGAACAAACATAAACTTACAAGGAGGATATGTAGATGATGCTTAGACTTATTATTTGAGAAAAACACAAGTCTCAAACCCAAGTGACCGTCGATTTTCCAATGTCTTTAACCCTTCAGATCCGATTTTAACGTCTTCTCTAAAGGATTTAGATGTGTTCTTCGTCTTTCCACGACCAGTTAGCTTAAACAATCCGAAACAAGATCGTTTCATTCCCGTAGCAGTAGAAGACATTGATACTCTTTGAGTCTCTGTAATATTTTAGATGTTAACAACAACATTTCATATATCTATAGAAACAAAGATCTCATGAATTATATAACAGCGTGAAACAAGAGGATCGATTTTGTTTTCTTTTTACCTTACGATTTTTTTTCTTTGGCCACCTATATATTGGGATTTGTACATTTTCTCAAGGAGAATTGATCACATAACGAACCAAAACCTAGCAAAAACATATAAGAAAGAAAACAGCTCTTTAGCGAAAATCAGTCATAAAAACATTCTCAATTTCTTGTTTTTTTTTTCGTAATGTGATGTTTTCTAGGATCTAGGGTTTGTAACTTGGGGAAGAACCGAAGAAGAAGGAATTACGCATACGTACGGTACCTTGCATGGCGGAGGAATAAACAGACGTTGCTGTGACCAAATAACCATACCGGTTAAATCCGGTTTAAATCAAGAACCACTACTATTCCTTTCCAATCCTATAATTTGACAATTTTACTTCGCATGTAGTCAAGTCTTAAGACGGTTTGATACTTTGATTATATACAAGTAGCAATAGTCGTAAATGTAATACATACGTAGTCAACACTAAAAAACATAATAAAAAAAGGAAGTAAATGTAAAGAAGAAGTAACACTTGGCTGACCAAAAAAACCTAATAAAAAAAAGAACACCACTTTCAAATCCGTTGAACAGTAAAAAATCTCAACGGTCAATTTTTGAAACAAAAACGTAGTATAGGCTATAGCTAGGCTCAATTTTACAACGGTAAAAAAAAATAGCCGTTGACAAAAATTCAAGTTGCTTATAAAAGTCCAATACCACGAACAAACACATACGCTTACTTCAATAATCCTCTCTTTCTTTGAAATCTTGCATCTAAATCTTGAAACCTTCAAGACCCAAAATGTTGATTCAAACTTTTCATTCAAAAATCATCTCTTCTTTTGTTTTTATCTTTTTATGTTTATATATATCCCCCCCCCCCCCTCTCTCGTTTTTATGTGATAATGATGGAATAATGCATCCAAATCTTGAAAATTTCAAGATAGAAAATGTTAGATCCAAACTTATTCTTCAAAAATCCTCTCTTCCTTTGCTTTTATCTTTTCAAAGTTTATATGTTTTTCTTTCCATTTCTGTATGATAATGACGCAATCCTAAAAAAAAAAAAAGAATCTTGCTCCAAATCTTGCCAACCTTCTTCTCTCATACTCTCGTAAGCAAGAACCTGCAGATACTTGGATTCAAAATCTGCTCATGAAGACTAAAGGTTTGATATTTCTATTCTTTTTCTTTTACGAATAATGTTCTTGTCGTAAGCACAACCGTTTTGAATTTTGCATAGGATCCAAATGTTTAGTTTTAAGAATTCGTAATAAGATAGAAATTTAAACATAGGATCCAAATTGCTATAAACGTCTTTGAGAAACATAACTAGATGTTTGAGGATAATTAAAATAAGAAATTGCATGGTTAATTACTCTTTTGAAATACTTTATAGCATTTTTCTTGTTCGATATACTCAATTGTATTTACCTCGTTTATAATTCCAATATGTTATATTGTCCACTTAACTAAATCAGCTTTCTTGTCTTTGTTGTAGGGATTCGCATTTACCGTGAAGAAAATGGCTCAAGACTCTCAAGGGTCACGGGTAAAGCACGTATAATTATTTTAGATGGTTGAATTGGTCAAGAGATTTGAGTGCTAAATTGCATAATATAATGTGAAAACCAACCACACTTTATATCTCGTCAATTGATTATTCAATTGTACGTTAGAGGTATTATAAGTTCCAACATGTTTTTGCATTATAATGTGTATTTAGCACTAAGTTTCTAATTAGCTAAACCGTGAATTATACATGCTTGGACTAATTAAAAGATTTGGATGTTAGATTGCATAATTGTACAAACCAACCGAGCGTATTCCGTCATTTGATTATTCAATTATCCGTTAGAGGTACCACAAGTTTAACTTGCTTTTGTATGATAGTGTGAATTAGCATTCAAGTTTCTAGTTAGTTCGATCATCCATGATCCATGCTTTATAATGTATACACTAGATTCTCACCCGCACTATGTGCGGGAACATTTGTTGTATATATTGTAAACTATACTTAGTTTTTATATATAATACGTTATAACATTAGATATT